GCCGAGATTGCAGTTGTCAATGCTCTTTGGTATCTTGCAACACCGTAGATGTGTCAACTGCGATTTCCCTTCCATGTGCTTCATGTTCTTTGATCGCATTAATAGTCCTACTAGGAGCTGCTTGTCTTGGTTCAGCAAAAAAGAATCAAAACGCAGAAAATAGCACGAAGAGCACAGACAATCAGCAACAAAAGAACTTGTACAGTAGACACTTCTCCATGCTTGTGTACTTGGGTTTTCTACTCCCATACCAGTGAAGAGACATCACTTGTGCCTCCTGATGAGATCACTGTGTTTTATCAGTACTTTTTCTGTACACACTTCTTTGGGGTTTCTCACTCTCCCCCCTGCACCTCAGCACAACCACTACACAGCTGCCCCAATACTCTTTGCACCAACAATCCCCTCAATGTCTGTTGCGCCTCTCCAAGAGACACGCCAGGTGGCCAGCGTGTCAGCGTCGCCTGCGGCACTCGTCAGAAGCACATGCTGCGGCACCGTCTGCGGGGACCATGCCACCACACTGCCGCCTGCGGGGTGATTCGTATTGTGTTGCTTGGAAAGAAGCCAAGCCCTCAACAAGAAATACACACACACACACCCTTCCTCACTTCCCTTGAAGCCACACCCAAGTATTGTCACCGCCACTCACCACAAATGACACACAAACACGAGAGGAAATCCCACCTTCACTCTGCTCCTCAAACACATGGTGAGCACCACAAGTGTATGCNAACCCGTGTCAGCGTCACCTGCGTCACCCGTCAGAAGCACATGCTGAGGCACCGTCTGCGGGGACCACGCCACCACACTGTCGCCTGAAGAATGATTCGTATCGTTATTGTGTTGCTGGAGAAGAAGCCAAGCCCTCAAAAAGGAATACACGCACACACCTTCCTCACTCCCCTTGAAACCAGACCAAGTATTGTTATCGTCACTCACCACAAATGACACACAAACACGAGAGGAAATCCCACCTTCACTCTGCTCCTCAAACACATGGTGAGCACCACAAGTGTATGCAGGAACAAAAACAAAAAGAGCACCCACCAACAACTTGATTCAGTGTCGACTTCTGTAAGATGGGCTCTTTGATTGATTCCTTCACAACGGCCATGTGCAGGTGAAGTACACGTCGAAGCAGCAATATAACCCAACACACTTTCTCACTCAACCAGACCTGCTTCCCTCCGGACGAATTCAAAAGCACACACACACACACTCACATATCTTAATGACCATCCAAAGGCATCACACCTCACACAGCGTCATGTGTTTCCGCCAACATCAAGATAAGTTCGAATGTTAAGTTCTTCCGCTTGCATAAAGCAGAACCCCCCAGCAACCATAAATTGAGCATTGGATCCCCGCGACTCCGCACACCAGGAGAGCACCGAGGGCAACTCGCAAAAAAGGCCCAAAGCTCGGAGCAGGGGCCTGCACAGTTTCTCCTCATGGCAGTGGCATGTTGCTGCTGCTGCTGGCATCGTTCAAATATCCCCAGGTGGACCTGCCACACCAATCAAGAGCACCCTGTGCAGCCCAAAGGTGTTTTCCTCTTTTTTCCACAGAGTCACACACAAAGAAGCAGAAAAAGCTAGCAGGTCGACGCACACACACACACACACACATCATGCCCCAGTAGACAATGCATCTGAATGACGATCCACTTGTGATTACGGACGACAGACTGAAAAGTTTCTTCTCCCAGTGGAATTGGCATGCCAAATAGCCGCGAGAGGCATGGGAAGCATAGCCTACATGGTCATAACGGAGAAGGAAGCACAGAGCTACACATGTCCTCCACGAGCCCACAGAAATGTCTGGGGGTTACTCTGGTTCCTTTCCTCACAGCTGTCACACTCCAGTTCTGTACAGCGAGGTGTCGGTGAACCAGAGCATGGATGTTGCCACCTTGACGAATCTTTTTTGGGGGGCCTGCCGAATGGTTAGAGAGCATTGCAGCGGAAACGCAGTGCTCTCTTCACATTCATCAACAAAACGAAAAGAGATAGTTGGCGCACACCTCCCTCAAGAGATTGAATCACATTCCAAGCGGAGGAGTCATAACAAGACAGAGTGGCGCCAGTCGAACTTCTGGCACCCCACAACACATAGCATTGGGGGATCTGCGTTGCACAGTCCGTAGTAGTAAAAGAGCCGCGGAGCCCCTTCTCCTGCCTGCTCGAATAGAAGACAGCACCAAAAAAAGAGTGACAAGCATAAAGTGGCAGGTACAACGGAAGGCAAACAAAAAAGCGCATGGCTCAGCCCACCTCGTTCTCTTCAGTGGGAAAGCACCTTCCCCACATCATATGTTGCGTTGTTACTTCCCACGCGCTGCTTCCCCTGTTGCGAGAGCTGCGCCCAACCAGGAGTAATCTGCTTCAAACAAAAAGAAACAACGGCGCATGAGGGGGCCCTTTTCGATCAATGAGACCCTCCCAAAGCAACAAGCAAGAAACCGGAAAAAACAAGAAACCGCATTTTATTACCTCTCCAGTTTTTTCACCCATGAAACGCACAAAAGATTCGCAACAGAACGTCGCCCACCACCCCCCAAAAGTTACTTTTGTGTTCCCGGCACATACGAGTATTAGTGTCTTTCTTCACCCAGGAGGAACACAGCGCAGAGCGAAATCGTCGGCCGGGAACCGCAGCTCACAAAGAACACCAGGGGTAGCACCACAAGATCATGAGCCACACCGCATATATCTCCATGATATATATTTCGACCGCGGAAAGAAAAACCTTTACACCACATCGATGACAAAACGAAAACCTCTTCAAAACAAAAAGAGTATGACTTTTAGAGGATGACACTAACAAGTATATTATTGCCACGTGCTAAATGACTTTATCTCCTCCTTAATATACCCTCACGAAACTCATCTATGCTAAGTGACCTGATACAAACAAGAACACCGCTCACACTTTCACACGCGAAGAGAACGACCTCTTTCAGTGTCTTGATGGATGCGAGAGGAGACACATCTGGAAGTCCCCTCCAGATTTTGACCTCGATCCTCACAAGGCTGCGACTCGCACTGATACCCCGCAACTCCCTATCTGTAATAACACTGCAACTCAAGTCAAGCTCACGCAGGACAGGCAGCCTGCCAAGGGCACCAACAGTCTTCACACCTTCACACCCATCCAGATCCACCACTTCCAGTGTCTCGATGGATGCGAGAGGAGACACATCTGTAAGGTCACTGCAGTCCCAGAGTCCAATCTTCACAAGACTGCAACTCGTACTGAGGCCCAGCAGTTCTTCATCGGTGACGCCGGTAAAGCTCAGATCAAGCACCCGAAGGAGTGGAAGTTGACCGATACACTGACAGCTTGTAACCCGGGAACAGCTTCGAAGAGAGAGTCCCTCCAATTTTTGGATGAGGCCCAGACAACGCACATCGCTATCCTGTATGTTTGTGTTGATCAGTGATAGCTTTCTCAGCTCTGATAGTTGACTGAGCAAGTTGATGTTCTCTATCTCACCATCAACTCCCAAGTGCAGTTCCTGTAGTTGCTTCAAGCCAGCCAGCAGCCGCACGTCACAGACGCCACTGCAGCTGGAAATGTCTATTCGGGTAAACGTTTTAGATGTGTGGAGAGCCTTGAGGTCGTCGTCTCCAAGCACCTTCCCATCAATACGAATCTCGCACATGCCACACTGTTCCTCCGTGGGGAGGAATTTCATACTGCCAACGGCACAAGTTTTCAATTCGGTGTCGCCTGAGCGTCGCCGTCTCTTCGGTTCCTCTTGTAATTGTGCCTTTTTATTCTCCAGCGCTGGCACCTCTGCCGCCAATCTGTTACGCTCGTCGGCCAAAACCACGTTATCGGACTGGGCGGTGAAGCCACAAAACTGTCCATTGGGATTCGTCAGGCAGATGTCCCTGCGCAAGAGGAGGAGCGTCGCTCGAGGAAGCACGGTTCTGCTTGTTTGTGTCTTTATTCTCCACAGATCTGTCAATGAAAATATGCGCTGTGTAGTCGCCGTGTCCTTGGATCTATAAAGAGAAAAAGAAAGAGGCCGAAAAGGAATGAAACAACTTACAGGCATCCCTTATCTACAATGTGAGCATACACGGCTATAGAAGGGAGATGGAATCACACCGTTTTCCGCAGACTTAGGGAATGGCAGATATTGGGATCCCCCGATCCACACGGCTTCGCCATGAGGAAGGGAAGTTGGCGGTGGGTCGGATTGCAACAAAAAAATAAGAAGCAAGTTTTCCTTTATTTCGTATCCTTCGAAAATACTTGCAACGGCACAAGAAGGAAACACATTCATGTGGAATAATAAAAAACAGATGGGCATCTACTTGTCTGATGATCTCCTGAGAAGATCATCTTTTTTTTTTTGAGATATGACTCACTGTTCCAGAGGACGCTAAAGCCAAATAAAATTAAGTGCACAACTAGCGAGGCGCATATCCCCGAAACGGTGAGCATTCGCGCACCCGTTAAGGGCCAAGCTCCTTTCAAATTCGTCACTTTAGAAAAGATTCTTTATCTTTTTCTGGTCATGTTGGTCACCTCATCGTGGTGTCAGGGTTAAGTGAATCCTGTATTCTCGAGGGAAACCAAGCACCAGCAAAGGTTCGCCTCTTGGAGAACTTTTGCGGAGCTATGCTCACTGCATCGCAGAGTGCCAGGACCAGACGTGCCTAGCTGGGGCACCGTATCATCTTCGTGGTCTGTGTGTGTGTCATTGGCAATGCTGGGGCAATGAATGTCCATATGGAATACAAACACCCTGATGGACTTGATAAAGCGGCCCACGAAGCGGACAGTACCAAAACGAGCCCCGTCAAGTGAAAGAGGGAGAACACTCCCTATCCAAAATTCGTTGCAATAAAATAGAAATGTCCCCAAGAAGCACAACAACTGCTTTCGAAGCGTAAAAGGAGGGATACTTCCCTCCCTCTCCCCCAACAAAAGGCCTGATAAAGCGCGAGACACCTGACCCATCAGCACCGGAGCAGTAGAGGGAAAAAACAACGTGTGGAATGCTTGCAATGGTTCACCCATATCAATCCAGTGGCGTCGCACCGCAGAAGATTCCATGAGGGAAAAGGGATACCCACCAATTGGAAACCCTGGGAGCCACGGAATGATATTTCTCTGTGGGTATGCCTCTTACTGACTTTGTATGTCCAACGTATGGGCACGCAGTGCCGCAGCAAATGCTGGCTCACAAGGCGCCGCATTGTCGCACATGGATTCAGGCCGGATACTCTGAAACCGAGCCAACGCGCACACTGCATGACGTTCCATGAGGAACCTGCACTTACTGAGCTGTCCACTCCTCAAGAGACTCTGATTTCACTTTGCTGTGGACGGGAGCAATCTGGAGAAGCTATGCTTTTCAAAAATGCTTCTCCAGCACTCTCTTGTAGTGGAAAGGTAGTGCTCTCGGGGGCATTCACATGCAGATGAAACGTCTATCATGCAGGATCGGGGGTTGCTCGTCCCCCAGCTCTGCTTGATTATTTGATTGGTCTAATGCCCCACTCAACAACAAAGTGCATCACCTCTCAGCAATGATTTGCCCAAGACTGGGCCAGTCAGTCTGGGAGATCTCGGGTGGAGAAAAACGGTCACCCGAATCCTTCAGCGCGAGCTCCCTCACCGGGGAGACACAACGCAACGGATAACGAAATACACAGTTAACCAAAACAACAATAAGAGACAACACAGGGTTTCGATTCCACATCATCCGTAAGTGGCAATGGGCATGCTCCACGATGATGGCGGGTGGAGCGGGGCCATCAATGACAGTTGAGAAGATACAAGAAAAAGGACTTCTATTACTATGGTATTGAAACAAAACTTCGCTGTCACATACATGCCACCGCTGACAGAGAAAAAAGTCACCGAGTGTTATCGGTCTTATACGTCTCGGTCCTCGACCCCAATCACCTCGGTGACCCATCATTTGACGCAGCAACAGTGGGAGACTCCTTGGTGTCATTACGTCCACTTCCCGGGTGTTCAATCGGTGCCATCGTTCCTCGCTGGGGTTAATTTGCAACACCGATACTACAAAAAAAAATATATATATATACAACCAGAAGGGAGTCCAGGACACCGCGGTGGCGTATTTAGTCATAACAGCGTAAGGAACCTCTCATTATGCCACGGCACAAGAGACCTCGGCAAATTACAAGATCATTGCACTGGGTATCTCTCCCAGCACGCCACAGCGGGCGCAAGCAGAGAAATCCCCAAATCATTTTCATCCACCCATATGAAATGGGTCACGTCATATTCATTGCAGTTTTGAACGTATCTTTGCTCGTCAACCAGAAATAGCACCAAGACATTGACTGTTGTGCTCATCAAAAGCTTTCATCAATGGGAACTCAAATAAACTGTGTCAACGCACCCGCTCTCGTGCGATGAGCGTGGCCGACAGCCAACTCCACGGCTTATCTCAACGCATTTCATTGTGGAACTATGATTACACGCGGCAGAATGAAAGCAAAGCGCCACCCAAGTATGCTGGAATGAGAGTCCTCCTTTAACGATGCGTAGCCACACAATTAACCCCACTCACACCAGTCGGCTACTGTCATATTACTGTGCCCCTACCTGCCAGCAGCAGACATTCTAGTGGAAGCAACAACAACAACAACGGAAAACAACTACGCACTGGCCTAGTCTCAAGGACGACAAGGATGAAGGCAGATACACGAAACAAGCTTCTTCACTCTCTACCAACAAGAACAACAATAATAGAAGAACTATCGGACCCCAACCCCTTTTCTTTTCCTTTTATCTTCCCTCTTGGTCTACTATCACTTCGTGTGCCAAAGCCAAATGTGACTCCAATGGCACCCTTCTCTACAATGTCATTTTTTTTTTGTTTCGCTACCAAATTTGCCTCAAAATGTAAAAAAAGCAAAATAACAGTAATAAAAAAAAAACAAAATAGAAAATCAAGCCATCCTCTTCCCCTTAGTACGGCAGCGGAACGATACGCTTTTCGCACAAGTAGTCGTAAAGTTGGCCAGAGCGAAACAGGTCCAAACCTGAGGAGACCCGAATATCATAGACAGTGATTGTGTTCATCTGAGACTTCTCGGACATCTCCTGCTTGACACGAAGGAAGAGCGCAGGAGGAATATGGTTCTCACTGCAAAGTGATGCCTCTTCGGGGGACAAGGAAACAAATCCACGCATATTTCGAATGTCAAGTGAGCCACCCCACCTGATGTCCACAGCGTTGTCGTTTGGCTGCACATGCGATTCCCTCATCACAGCAAGCCGTTCTTCAAGGATCCTTTCGACCGGAGTCTTGAAGTGAAGCAGGCGTTTCAGAGCAACAAGCCAGGCTTCACAGTCGCTGTCTGTCTCACAAACAACCTCCAATGACTTTTCACCACGAAGTAGAAGTGCAAACGCGCGGTAGTTGTTCAGACCGAGGTTAGATGGAGTAATACTTTGCGTGGGATCGTGGCGGTACGTCCCACTGTCAGTAACAGCCTCTGGGCGCACTTTTGCCAGTTGTGCTTCGCTGCTGAAGTTCACAAAAGAATTTGTGTAGAGGCCAACGACAACACGTTTGATGTCCTTTATCCATATAGTAACTGGAGGCTTCCTGCGACTTATGGGCGCTCCCTGGTGATCCAGCTCACAGGAATGAATACGCTTGCAATCCTCGGAGAGAAAGTAGAAGCGTCGGCGAACATTTGCTCTGCTTGAGATCTTTGTCATGCGGATACCATTGCGCAAGTACGTCAGCACCTGATCCACAAGAGAGCTGAGGTGTTGTTCTTTGGCCGCAGCATCGTGAATCCTTTCTTGCTTCTTGGCTTGGTAAGCCTCGAGCAAGCGCTGTCGGTATGCCTCGAGACCGCGCTCCAGCTTCTCCTTGCGAGACTTTTCCTCTTCAATCTTTGTAAGGTATGTTTGCTTTTCCTGTTCGAAGACCTCATCAAATTGGCGACGGATGGTTTCGGTTTCCTCCGGGTTGACGGGGATGTCCTCCAGGGAGATGAGTTTCGGCAAATATTCCTCGACTGTCTTGATGTCCGCCATGACGGACTTTTCAGCTGCGTCTTCTTTGGCTGTAGCTTGCTCGCCGTTCTTTTTCCTCTCCTCAGCCAGCAGACGTACTTGTTCAAGCACCTTGGCATTGATCTCTTCGATTTGATTGATCCACTGTTTCCGTTGACGGCGCCGCTCTTCCAGTACTGTCTTGCGCATCGCCTGGATGGACTGCCTCTCCTTGAGGATAGCCTCCCGTCCCTTTGCCTTGTCGAGCCGGATCATCTCCAATTGCTTCTGTTTACCCTCAATAGCACTCTGGCGTATATTAAGCTCCTGCTCGAGCTGAAGCATTTCCTCCTTCAATTTTTCAGCAACACTCTCTTCCTCCTGCTTCTTCTTTCGAATCTTCTCCAGCGTCTGCTCGTAGTCCTTGATGCGTTTCTCGCGGTCTGCATGCAGGGCGGCATTCTCCTTCTTTTTGGCCTCAAGTGTTTTCTCCAACTCCGCCAAGGTGGTCCCCGTCTTTGCCTCAAGTTCCTTGATCATTTTGTCGGCATCATGTTTGGCACGTTCACGAACCAAGCTGAGCTGCTTTTCACGCGCTTCTTCACGCTTCGATTGAATGGCGTTGATTCGCTTCAACTCCTCCTCTCGTATATTCGTAATAGGCTTCGGCTGTTCATAGATACACGGCTTGTAGTCATACACAGTGCGGGCAATGATGAGCTCGTCCCGCAACTCCATCACGTCCTGATCAAGGCGCCATTTGTCAACGGCGAGATCACGCGTCATAGAGCCAATACCAGTGGAGCCAAGGATACTGCTGACGCGCCGGGTCATGGAAAGAGCGTGGTAGGACTCTTCAGCCCACACGGCGTCCGAGAATGCATGGACAATGAAAGCTGTGTTTGTCGACTCGTTGAGGCTGTTGTTGGGGTTTCCCTTCTCGGAGTTGTACGCACGACGCAGCAACTGGCTCAGTTTTGACTTTCCAAACGGAATACGCAGTCGGCTGCAACGAATACTGGAGACTATCCCAGTCGCCGATACCAGTGTTCGCTGTGTTTTTTCATACAGCTGCTGCATTGGTCCATCAATCCCACAGAGAACAGGCCGCTCAGCATCCCCCAGGGAAATAAAAGTCATGGAGTTCGCATCCATGTAATCGTTGAACGCCTCTTCATCATCGTAGCGGTACAGCTGAAGAACAATTGTGTCAGGCAGGTAAGGGGGGAGGGCTTCAAGCTCAGGTGTTGGCTGTTTTTCACATAGCACTGAGGCAAACATATTCTCGTAGTTCTTCACAATAGTGTTCATAGCTGAACGAACATCTCCAGCCGACGACACGCGAAGGCGCTCAATCATTCGAACACGGGGCCCCTCCTTCACGGAGTCGACAACAACTCCCAGTTCATTGTTGGCATTCAGAAGATCGGCAAGGTGTTCCGATACACCGATGGCGTAGCAAGAGAGAACAAAAATGCCCTTTCCGGTTCCAGCCTGCACAGCATCGGCGATCACCTTCGCCGCGTAACCCTCACCAGATCTGGAACCGTACATCAACTGCCGTTTTGGAGTTGCGCGCACGCCGTAACTGAATACCACCAAGTTCTTGCGCTTCTGAATGAATTCCGAGGCAGCGGAAGAAAAGGTCTTTTGTACAATTTTGCTTGACTGGGGGTCGTCAAGCGCGGCATCCACGTTGAAAGAGGCATCGCCGACTGGGAAGCCGGCATCCTTTAAGGGCTGGGGGCACCTGAAGCTCACGGAGTTGCCATCGACCCTCAGAGCCGATGGGAGACTCGACGGCGACTCCCTGAGGGAGTGGGTGCAGAAAACAAGCTTCGCTTCCATTGCAGAATTGCGCTTTGCGGGGATTCTGCAGGCCGCAGCGAATGGGATGGAGCAGTAGAAAAGAAAAAGAAAAATGAAGCAGAGAAAAAGGCAAGTCGGAACAAAAAAAGAAAAAAGACCAAGGAGACATCGTGAAGACGTCACAGAAGAAGTGGAGTTCGGCGTGGCCACATCGCACACCGCGGAACAGAAAACAAAAACATTAGTAGATGAGTTGCGGGCTCCATCCCGTGATGTGACGAAAGAGGACCCGCGTGAAGGCGCACAAAGCCACGGCGACGACTGGGAAGAAACGAGTGGAGTGGTTGGCCGTAACACTAAATCCCTGTATCGCCCACATGAGGAAGACAAAGTCTACAACAACTGCTAAAGGGATGGGAATGCGCCAGACCAGGAAGACCAGATATCCCAGCTTCGCCGTGTAAGCAAGGCTCACCGCTGTCGCCCACGTGACCATCGCATCGTCCTCCCCAGAGCCCCCGCCACCATGCGAGCGTACACCGACCCAAATGGCAACGATGAGGCAGAGGAAGTACTCCACGCAAGCGTACAGAAAGAGTGTGGGCCACGTGCTCAAGTACATCATTAGCGGCATCACGTCCTGTCGCAGGTTCCGCACAAGTTGAAGGCTTTCCGTTGCGGTTAAATTACTGTCCAAGGGCGCCGGCAAGTAGAACTTGCTGTTGCGCAAATTGTCGTAAACCGATGTTGTTCGCACCACATAGGCCTCCATCAAGCATGAGAGTAATGCCGATAGCAACAGTGGTAAAAAGAGTTCTTTCTGGTTGAATAAGACATGGATCCAGGCACGTCTTTCCAAAATAACAATATCAATCCACTTCTGAACGTAAGCGAATTCGTAGTACCTGTCGCAGCAGCGGCCACACGCGGCACACTTCTCAACCACCTCCGTCTCTGGGTGGACAATGCGTGCGATATTGAAGTTGCACTCAACGCACCGGGGCATACCTCACAAGACGGAGCTGGTAGCGCAAGAACAAACATACAAATAAATAGAAACAAGAAAAGGCAGAAGAAGGCCGCCCCTCAAAGCAAAACTAAAAAATAACAGTCGCCATCAAGAGAGAGGCAAAGAACAGAGATACAAGCCGCCCTCCAGGCCCACAGGGAGAAGCTCTCGCTCGCAAATACACATCAAAGGAGATCAGTCTCTGCTCTAGAAAGAAAGAAAGAAAAAGAAAAAAAGAAGAACGCCGAAAAAAAAAGACGGAAAACCCCCCGTTAACGGCATTTCAGGTGGGGACATTGTATACTATGCCTCTTTGCTTAGTCATGCAAGTTTGTTTTTGGTTTGCTTGTCATACACGAGCTGCGCCTCCCCGTTCTCAGCGCCACTGCGCGCGGCCCTCAGCGGCGTGTGCTCCCGCACCACACGGGCGGGCACAACGAGACTGGCGAGCTTTGTGATCTTTGAGGTGTCCTCTCGCACCACGATACCCCCAAACTCCCCTCCCACCGACCAGCCGCAAAATATAGGGAAGTACTTCTGCTCGTACCTGGAGAGGAAGATACGGCTTTGGTAAACAACAGCAGATTCAAAGAACCTCCCTGTCGAACTCTCGTTACCTTCATCCAAAGACGTGCAACCCAGGTTTGCAGGTGTGTCATCGAATAAATGAATAGACACGGAGCGAGAGAGCGCTGGCGCCTCATCGGTTGATGGCGCAGCAGCCAAGACGTCTTTATCCGTTTCGGGATCATACATCAATATGTTCTGCCCTGCACGGCCGTTCACCGGTTTCGAAAGATAGTGACCCGATATTATCTCCTTCGTCCGCTGAAAGCTGGCAGGAACCATATTTGGGTGGCGCGGCGCCACAGCGTGCATGAAAGGAAGAATGGCCTTGCTTCCCGTCACAGCCTTCCAGAAGGGCTCCAAAACGCGTATTCGCTCGTTCAACAGAATGTCAGAGAGTGACGGCTTTGACAAAAAACGGATTCCCTCTTGTACATGTTGCTCGGCGTACTGGTGTAACACCGTGTCCCACGCCCAGGTTTTCCAAACTAAAAGAACCTCCTCGTTCTCAAGATCAACAATCGTTGGATGATCTGTTTCGTGTGGGGATGAGACAGACGAGGTGCTTGACGCCGCGTAACGGAAGTCTGTGAGCTTAACGCACAGCTTGGTGCGGAACCCAGCCGTTTCTGCTGCATTCATTGCGTACAGCGCGGTATATCTCTCCTCATCGTTATCATCAATCATAAAGTGGATCAACTCGTGTGATGGGCAGAGGTACTCGTCTTGAAGCAAACATTTGAAGTAATTCACAATCTTTGTAAAGAGAAAGGAGCCCGTGGATGTACCTATATTCAATCCGTAGTGGCGTGCCATTTTTTCCTGAGTGTCACCGCATTCTAGCATAGCAGCCGATGAGTCACAGTTGTATTCCAGCATAATGACGTCCTTGCCATTGTAGCCAAAGTCAAAGCGACCGCACATTGAGGGAGTGGTTTTAAAGCATTTGTGTAGCTGCTGATGTAACTCTTTTGGAACACCGAAGTAATGTATAAGAAGTGTTTCTGAATCGGGATCGTTGAGAATGCGACGCGTGGCCTCCATTGCAACCTCATGTAACGAATTTGCTGCGTATCGAAAGCGGCTCCACATGTCATAGTCCATGAGGTAGTATCCGTCAGGTACGTCTTTTTCTTGGGCCATGGCATTATCTCCCATATTCCCATCTATCGTCAAAGACCTCTTAAGAAAGAAGTCGCAACGTTCGGCGGTGTTTACCCACGGCAATGTAACTTCACGCTCCACGTGATATCTGGCAATGTGACCAGAGCTGAGTATGTGTCGATAGTTGTCAGGGAGGTCACCACGATTAAAGTCGTATGCTGGTACCTGAATATTTATCCAACCAAGCAACTGGTCCTCATCGACAAACTCAACAATCCCGTCGTCCCTCACTCTCCGCTCAATCTGGCGACTGTAGTTTTCCCCAGCAGGCCAGCGTTCGAACGCATTGTTCTGCTCGGCAATACGAACCCAGCTGTTAGAACTATGAGTCACAACGCCCAGGTGCCCAAAGGGCATCGTCGCTGAGCGGCCCCATACGAATAGGTCGCCAGCGGATGGCATATTTGTGGTTGCCCCATTCTTCTCACGACTGACGGTCACAGGCACGCCGCTCGGTATCTCGGTCACCACATCATCAGCATCCCACAACTCCTCTGCTGTTGGTACAGAAGCGAGCCAAAGGCCTTTTGTCATGGCTAAATATCGCCGCGCAAACTCCAGAGCCAGCCATTTGTACCCAAGTTTTTCATACGCGTTCGTGATCACTACGGGGTGTACAATGCCGATATGCTTCGCATTTGGGGCAACAGATATCTCATTGCTGCAAAATGCCTTGTCACCGTTGGAGAAAACAGGTACACCGTTGTCCGTCACGCCGATGACTTGTCCAAACGAAAGAGATTTTGCGTTCTCTGACCCTGTGTGGCCGTCAGCGTCATTGGTGGACATGGCTCGTCAGAGCAATTCCTTCAAATGGCACCTCAGTTCGGCTGTCAACTGTCCCGTCTCGCACGGCGCGGTGACACCGATCGGGAATACAGATGACCGATGATTGCGGGCCCCGCCCCGTCGCGTCGCCTCGGCCAAGAAATTGTAGATTCAAAGACTTGTTCTGAGACAAGAGGCAAAGTGGGAGAAGCACGCCTTGGAAGAGCAAGGCGGATCAGCATCCAGAGACAGAAGGAAAGAAAAAAAAAAGGATGTATGCACGTGTGCCGGTGTTAGCTCTTACAGATCACAGCGGTGCCACAGCGCGGATGCCCACTCCACTCACAGCTCATTATACACGTGTGGTGTGTGTGGGCCTCTAGAGAGCTGCAGAGTACTATTCACGAACCTCCACTACGCTGACAATGCCGCCTCGCGGTAAAGCAAATATCCACCGACAGTGAAATAAATGGCAAAAACCGCGACAAGGAACGTCCCAGCGAAGTCGGTCAGACGCGCCGTCGTTTCCCTGGAGTAAACGACCTCCGCGTTCCCAAAGCACTTGGCGAGAATGCCGGGACGGTCAGATTTCGATGATTGATGCATATGTAAAACCCCCTTCGGTACTCACTTCACCTGCGTCACCCCTAGCACAGAGTCACAGAAAGGGGGGGAAAAGCAGGCCACTTGGAAAAGAGCACTCACCAAGGCGCATTAAATAAACCGGCAGTAGCGTCATGAGTGCCAGGAGGCAAAGAAAACCGAGGGAATATGGATACACGCAGACACAGTGTGAGTGAGAGTAAAAAAAGGCCGACGGTGTGTCTCAGGCGATTGGGGGACGAAATCCGCGCAAACACTCAATCAGCACCTCTATAGCGCGTCACGGGCAATGCTCACCTTGCGGTAAAGCGAGTACCCTGCCACCACAAAGTAAATTGCAAGGAAGGTTAAAAGGAATGCCCAAGCAAAATCCAACACGTACGTGGGTGCGCTCCAGCGTTTGCACACGGAGGAGGCGTTGTTCCACTTCGAAGCACCTGAACGGTGAGCAGCGATTCCCTCTGCACCCCTCGGGCCCTTCTGCATCTTCGATTCCTTCTGTTGTTTCACATGTGCCTTTGCTACAGCATCGTTGATCATCTTCTGCACCATCGCCATATCCGGTGGGGGAAGCTGTGGAGTGTCGTCTGCTGTCCCAAGACCACCCTGGACGCGCGAGGCTGATGGCGCAAGTGGCATTTTTGTCTCGCCCTGCTTACTATGGAAGAATGAGAAAAGGAACACACTGGTCAATATTTCTGTTTCGCGTCAACACAACAGTAAGCAAGTACACATCGTTTTTTTTTTAGTTTCACAACTTACATCTTTTTTTTTAAATCACTGCATGGTGCAGGATTTGGACGCGACGGTCAATGAGAGTCACCACCGCAGCGGGAAAAAAGAAACCGCCAAGAGGGCAGACCAACTCCCGCCACCACAAACAAAAAAAAAAAGATTCCCTTCCACCCTGGCTGTATGTCCCTCAAATGTTTTTGCCGTGTCTGTGTCTGTGTGTGTGTGTGTGTGT